CTTAGCACATAACTCCAGTTACAGAAGGGAGGACAGGAGATAAAATAGGAAAAAATACTAAAGAAAAGTTAATGAAGTAAAAAGTCAAGACACAGTCAACAAAACCAAAAGCTGGTTCTTTGCAAAAGCTGATCAAATGGAGAGAAGATATAAACAACAAAATTAGAAATAAAAAAGTAAAGATAATTCTACACAGCATAGATTTTAAAAGTAATTAGAAAAGCCAAGTATTGTGGTGCACACCTGAAATTCTAGTACTCTGGGAGGCTGAAGCAGGAGGATTGCAAGTTCTGCCCAGCCTGGGCAACTGAGCAATTCAGTGAGACTCTGTCTCAAAATTTAAAAATGAAAAAGAGCTGGGAATGTAGATTAGTATGCAGTCCCTGGGTTCTATCCCCAGTACTACTAAGAAATATAAACAAAATTTTAAAAAATAAGATGCAATGAATAACTTTATGACTATAAATTTGAAAATAGACAAAATAAGCAGAAAAAACAAAACTGTCTTAAAATAGATCTAAAGCAATTAAGAAATTCATTAATTCAACAAATACTTACAAAAATCTTGCCTGACATGATTTTAGACACTGGAAATACAGCAGAAAATGACAACCAAAAAGCTCCAAAAGTAATGGAGCAAGCCAAGTAGACAGCAGAGAGAGAATGGTCCAGGTCTCCAGAGTAGGTGCAAAGGCCTTGAGACAGGAGTGCATTTAGTGCAGAGGGGTTATTAGTGACAAGGGGGATTGGCAGAGGCAGAGATCAGTAGAGTAAGCAGGGGCCAGATCGTGAAATGATGATAACGACCTCTGATTTCATAGTTAGAAGGTTAACCACGGAAGGGGGTGGTGATGATGACATCTGCTCATGAGGGCGTAGAATTAATTAAATGTCTGTGGAGTTTCTTTGTAAAATGCTATATTAAAGTGACTTTTTAATGTAAGTGTAGAGCACCTACCATGGGCTGGCTCTTGTGCTAACCATGCAGAATAGAAAGATAGGGCCAGGGATTTAGCTCAGTGGTTCTGCTGCCTGCCTCGCAAGCGCAAGGATCCAAGTTCGATTCATGGTACCACACAAAAAAACAGACAGTTAAGACACGGCCATACTCAACATCCACTATGGGTCACCACCACATGAATAATTTTCTCTAGTGTGGCAGGGGCTGTAATAGAGCAACTGAGGTCTGAAAAATAAGGAAGATCTCAAAAATTTATTTTTCAGTGTCTATAAGGATGCACATAAAAGGGAGGTAGGTGAGTGTTTTAGGATAGGTTATATTTTTCTGTTTGTTAAGCCACAGAGAATGAAGCATTGGCTTTCTCAGTTAGCAGCAATGATCATCAGGAGTGTTTCTGCTGAGCTGAACCCTGAATCCACAGGGCACTTACCACAACTACCAGTGGTGTGAGTAGCTAATGGTTGTGGGCAAGACATAGATGGGGAATATAGAATTTGGATCCGGTATAGTGATAGCATTTCAGCTGTTTTAATTCTGTTTCCATAGTTAACAGTTTGTTAAATGTTCACACAGCCTGACCCTTATGCATAAAAATTTCTTGTTCTTTTAGTCTGTCTGAAAAACTAAGGTTTTACTCTTAGAATGCTCAGCTCCTCTGAACCTCCCAGCTTCCTAGGGAACGGACGCTTACTGAGGGCCCCGGCCTAACCTGTTTTCTCTCACTGAACCCCTACACGCCTGTCCCTCTCCTACTGCAGACCTGCCACAGCCGAGGCAGGGTCCCACTCCCCTGTGAAGAGGTGGCGCAGCTGGTACCAGAAACAGGCAGTGTCTGGGAAGCCCACACCCTTCGCTCTCCTGCCTCCCAGGATAGATTGGCAGTAACTGCAAGATGCTTCCTTGCCTGGAGAGACTTGACTGTGATGGTCCTTACCTTGATTAAAATAATGTACACTTTGGTGCATTTTGAATTGTGTGCTTCTCTGCCCTAGAATACAGTTAAGAAAACTCACACAACAATACATATAGTTCCTTTAAATACTAACGAGCTTATTTTGCCATAGTTCCAATTTTGGCTTTGCCACTGACCAGAATTTTAACCTGGTTTTTGGTTGTAAAAGAATGGAATCAAATGCAACAATTCTGTACTCCCTACCAGCTCAATAAACTCTTCAATGCTGTGTCAGGATTAAAGATTGTTACCACCTTCTTTGTTCAGTCATCTAGAACCTATTGTTTCAGAGGAAAAGGGGAAGTTAAAAGGCTGGAGATGTATCTTAGTGGTACAGTGCTTGCTGCAGGGCCCTGGACTCTATCCCCAGAAGGAAAAAAAGTGTGGGAAGTAGTTTGTTCTCTTATGCCATTCTTTTTGTTATTTTATATATTCAAAGATTCATACCAGGCCACTAGCTGTTGCCATCCTAAAGTGTACATATGTGTTCGATTTTAAAGGCTGGGACTGTTCCCAGAAGCCTGTGCTGGTCACAAACAAAACGGATCACTCAGGGATAAGCACTAAAAATATCTCATAAGAATGCTTCCTCCACACACTCTTTGGAACAGGTAATTACTGTGGCAACAACAAACTAATTTGAAGTGTTAGCTGTTAATTAAAACATTGCGGAGGTGTACAGTTGTCTTTTGGTGTAACCAGAGCCTGCATTCAAACTTCATTAATCACTTTCCAGTTAATGTGTTGAGGAAGGTCGAGACCATTGAGATGCAGTAACCAATTGAGGTGCAGTGTCCCAGGATCCGTGCAAGTAAACAAACTCCTTTTCTCCAGGTAGAATGCCTTTTGCAAAGTGAGGGGACATACCCGACTCATGCCTGGCATTGCCTTTGTCATCCGCTTCTCCCCGATGATTAAATGTTAAACTGGTACTGTCATTGCACTGTAAACCAAGCCACCCAGCATCTTTATTGCTCGAAATTCAACCCAAACTTCCATGGATGAATTAGCGTGCGTCATAATTAAATCATCAAGCTCCCCTTTTAATTCACTTGGAAATAAGAGACCTTTCTTTTGGAAAAGAGATCGGTTTTCTTGACAAGCTAATTAAGTTGTGAAACTGTCCACTACAGTATATGTATTAGACTGCTAATCATTTCCTTATCTCTGCAGCTGGTCTCAGAAGTCGAGATGTTACTTGTGCAAAGTAACAACAACAACATTGCTCTTTTTACAACTTTCAAATCCTTTTGTATTCATTTAATTATTTGTCATCATATTTCACTTGTTGGTTAGTGATTCTAATGCACAATATTTTAAAAAGTTGAAAAATCTGTGATGTACCAGGAAAAATAATATATAAGTATTAAAATCTTACATTATATTACCTATAATAACATGGAATAAATTTATTAAGGTCTTCAAGTCACATTTCAAATTGTATAGTCCAACAAGTCCTCTGTCAGATGTTGAGAAAGATATGGCATAAATTTTTATATTCCCATTTATTACATGAGTTTAGATGTATCATGACCTAAAATATAGCTTTGCATTGTAAAAGTCTGATATTAACATAGATAGCAAAGTAATAATTTGTTCTGAAACAAATATACTTTATTCAAAGTATATATTTAATTGATTAAAGTTTATAGATGATATATATTACCGAAGTTCTTATTTGGAAAAGATCTTTAGATATTTTCATGGATAAAACAATTGCTTAGTAAATAGTTTTCACCTAGTTTTTATATTCTTGCTATTCTCTTAAATGAGCTGTCTCTGCATTTCTTTACAGTTGACTCACACAATGAAAACTGTTTGCTTTAACAAACATAATTGGCTTAACATCTGTCCAGTTAAATAGGAAAAGCAGAATGAATAAATTCTTATAACATTCATATACGTGGATAAGTACAAACATAAATATATGTCTTCCTAGTCTGGCCTATAGACTCTTATTATTTCTGTAAGTCAGTCACTCTTAAAACATTGGGTGGCAATTGTTCAACTCTATGAATTTACTAAAAATCATTGAATTGTACCCTTAAAACAAGTGAACATTTGTCATATGCAAATTATACTTCAGTGGAGCTGTCAAAACATTTGACAGAACAACCAAATATTTTTGTCAAAACAGCAAGATGGTGCTTTGACTTTGGTAATAGTGGAATGAGTATTTGTGTTTTAAGAAACAAGCTGTTTTGGGTTCTGGAAAATATATTTTGCCAGAAAGCAGGTGAGGACTAGAAATTCCTGGGGTGCTGATTTTTCTGCCCCTCCCATTCTCTCACCCACTTCCCATCCTCCCCAACCCCGTTCCAGGAATTGAACTCAGGACCTTGCACTTATGAGGAAAGCAAGGTGCCATTGAGCTCCCCTTCCCATCTTGACCTTGCCTTGATGAAAGAAAGACCATTCTGATCTGGGTTAATATATGAAGTCCTCAGCTGTATCTGATTCCTTGAGCCTGCCTCTCTATTTAAGGAAAAGATGAATGACATATTTGAGCCTTATAACTATGATTTATTAGTTACAGTAGAATATGAAATTACATTGTAAGCCGTAGCTACTTCTATGTGTTTTGTGATCATTTTGATGAAATATAGTAATATAGTTTATCTGTATATGTAATTGAAAGAAACACAAATAAAACCTCCCATTTTGCATGCCTCTGATGGTGTTTAGAATGGAACTGTAGAACCCCCCACACACACATACACGCATACACTTACACACACAAAATGACAGTTCCAGAGGATCTGGAGCCAGAAACTCGGGTTTCATGTTTAGTTTTGACACTATTCACTTTACAAGTTGAGCCTCGGAGTTCTCATCTATAACAGGAGTATATTAATAACCAGCATTACCTGGGAGGGTTATTTTAAGGTAACGTATAATGAGTCACTTTGTAAGCCATTAAGCTCCATAGAAATGTAAATCACTAATCCAATGTGATTAGCATTCTTTGAAAGTACCATGTATGTCTCCAGTTGCTGCAGAAATGTTTGGATTGCCACTTAATGTCCTTACCCATTTTATAGGATGTTTAATGATCTCAAGTAACTTTGCTGTTTTTTCTTCCTGTAGAGCATATCATGTCCCAAGTGGGAAAATATTAGCTGTAAAGGTAAGTACTGGACTCATTTTATGAAATTCTTGATGCTCACTGCTTTCTTTTCCCCTCTTAGCTTGAGTCAGAGAACACCAGTGCAGTGGTTTAAGGTTCAGATGGTAGGGAGAGGAAGCTGTGGCTCTGTTGTGATATTCAGGCACCTCGAAGTATTTTAAGTATTACAAACTCGGTGTTGTAGTTATTTGCATCAGTAGTTCTTCTCATCAAGAAGAATTATACCAGCCACAGAAGGTTGGATATCAATGCAGTCCTGATGCTCAGAACCTTAGTAGAATCACATTTCTTTATCTGCCACAGCCTGTAAACTGCTGTGTCCTGTTAGAAACTTCCCTTCAATGTAGCTATATGATACTTTCTGTTTTCATACTCATGGCTGTGGTCTTGAATCAGCCTCATGTTATGTCCTACTCAGACTTTTGAGATAGCTTCTGTACTTTCAGTCTTTTTCTTCTCCCATGAACCTTTTACTTTGCCACAGACTTGAGAAGTTGGCTCACAGATCTGACTGTAACTCTTGCCCCACCCCATCCCCACCTGTGAATGTCGAAAAGCTCAAGATGTCTGCCTCGCTTCCACACTTCCCAGTAGAGTCAAGCTGCACATAATTCAGGGGTGGTCCAGGCAGTTCCCTGCAAGTTCCCTCACTTGTCACCATCTTGCTCATAATCCATGCCCCATCTCTGCCATGCTCCCAAGCTCCCAGTTCTGCCGAGCACTTTGGATTTACCCTCTGCCATTGGCTGTTGGCACCATGTCTTGCTATCATTTTAGATCTCAGACTGTCTTAAATTACACCTCGGACTGAGCCCTCTGCGACCTTAAGTCTTAACTCCACAGAACCCTGCTGTCAGCACCAAGCTCTTACTAACAAACTAGTCAGGCCCTCTGCAGATTTGGCCCTCACTGCCCTGACCAACATGTTCTCTGCTTTACCGGTCAGTTATATCCTGTCATGCCCTTATCTCTGGGCTCTGGGCCTTTAGTAATGTAAACTTTTATTTTAGGGATGACTTTTATATGCCGGGTATTACAGTAATAATTTTAATCCTTAAAACGACAAAGCAATTCTGTTAGAGATTTGAGGAAACTGAGAGTCAGAAAGCTGAGTTGTACACAGTCACAGAGTTGGAAAAGAAAAGGTTAGGAGTTAAATGAAGTCCACCAAATCCAAAACTCATGTCTTCTCCTAGACTGAGCAACTTTATACAACTTCCTACCATTGTTCATTCTTTTGTTTTCCACCTGTCCTTTAAAGGTCCATCTCTAAGACACCTTCATAGCTGTTCATAGTGAGAAATGGGTCTCTTTTCCCTAACAGCTGCATCATTTATCTTTCTGCCTCTTTTGTCTTTTTAAGAAAACTTAATAAGAATGACAGCAATTAAATTACAATTGGTTAGACCTTTTATTAAGGTTAAGCTGAATGTAAGGCTCGGCTCTTCTGAACATTTGTGCATTCCAGATTTCTTTTTCCTTATCACACTGAGTACAGCACATAGAATGTGTTACATGGCACCATCAGGTTTAGTTTAAGTTAAAATATAACTTGCATGGCTTGTGGTAAGAAGGTACCTCAGAACTCCCTCTTGGGATGTTTTCTTTGACTCTCCATCTGCACTATGTCCATAGAATTGCAGAATTAGAAGAGACCTTAGGGTCATCTGTTGTAACACCTACATTTTACAGATGAAGAAACTGAGGGCCAGAGAGTCCCAAGGGAGGCACTCTAGGACCTAGCTCCATCCCAGTCTTCCCCTGAGCACACAGAGTGCGGCATTCTTGGGCCTCTTTGACACTGGGTTGTCCTTTCTGTACCTCCTGAGCTCCCTTGTCATTGAAAGAACACCCTCAACTTGAGTATTATTTTCCTTTCAATTCACTTATTTGTTCCTTTGATACCAAAATCTTAGATTGATGCTGATGATCTATTTAAAGATAGTCATACCTGGATTATTTATTCTAAGAGGGAGGAGCACTACTGTAAATCATCATTTTAAATAAGTTCTGCTGTTATTTGGCCTTACCAAATAAATTTTTCATAATTTCATACATTTTGAATTACATTTAACGTAGGCTGCTATTAAAATTCTGTGCACTATTAGATCTGGCAAGGGGCCAACAGCTATTTCTGTAAAGGATTAAAGGCAATTTTTTAAAAAGGACATGCTTTGCAAGATAGCATTAGAGACTTTCATTAAATGAAAATAGTTGAGGTTTACAAATAGTCTTTAGGACCCCTGGCCATTAAGCTGGTCTTTAGAACAAGGATTGAATTGTACCCTTAATTCTGTAAAGTCACCTACGATATGCTCAAACTGAGTCAACAAGTGACTGAAGGGTAGATAGGATTATTGTGATTAAATGCTTCATTTAGACCTGAGCTTCTTTATAGTGAAGGCAAAAATCATGGGGCTTGTATAATAGTTATAAAGTAAGAAAAAGGCACATACCATTTCTTCAAAATAGGTAGCATTATTCATTAATTCTTTGAAGTTTATTTCATTTCCAAGTATTTGGAGGTTTTCCAGGTATTTTTCTGTTACTGATTTCTCATTTAATTCTGTTGTAGCCAAAGAACGTACTTAGTATAATTGGAGTTTAAAATACATTGAGGCTTATTTTGTGGCTCAAAATATGACCCATCTTAGTAAATGTCCCCTGTGAATCCCACATTAAAAGAAAGTGTGGTCCAAAGAACATAGAGGATGTTGGATAAATGTCAATTAGATCAAGTTATCTGATAATGGTGATCAGATATTCTATATCTTTGCTGATATTTCTTGGTACGTGTTCTGTTCATTTTTGAAAGAGGTATATTGAATTCCTCAGCAATAATTTAGCTTTGTTTATTTTTTCCATGCAGTTCTATCATTTTCTGCTTTCTGCATTTTGTAAATGTGTGAGTCGGTGCACATGAATCTATGGCACAGGTGCCGCAGTGGGCTGTGTCATTAGTGAAAGCTCTAAGAGTCGCTATCACCGATGCAGGGTTTTTATGTCCTCTAGATGAATTGGCCTTTTTTATGATTAGGAAGTATGTCATATGAAGTGACCCTCTTCATCCATGGTAATATTCTTTCCCTTGAAATCCATATTGTCTGACGTCACTATAGTCATTCCAGCTGTATTTTAACTAGTATTGTCCTTTATTGTCAACTTTATTGTCTCTTTCTCTTTGAAGTGAATTTGTTGTAGCCAGCATATACTTTGGTCTCACTCACTAATCCAGTCTGATGATCTCTGCTGTTGAACTGGGTTGTTGGGACCATTTACATTTCATGTAATTACTGATGTGGTTGAATTCAGATCTGTCATTTTGCTTTGTGTTTTCAGTTTGTTCTGTCTGTATGCCTGCTACCCTATCCCTGTTTTTAGTGGGTGTTCCAGACTTTATTGTATACCTTTTTATCATACTCTTCCTATGTAATTACATTATCTACTATCTGTAATCTAAGAACCTTACCTTTTTTTGTTTCCCTCATCCTGCCCTTGTGTTTTTTCCATACATTTTACTTCTGTGTCTTAAACTCCAAGATGCACTGTTACTACTTTCGCTTTAGATATCTATCTTTTAAAGACATATAAAAGTAAGAAAATATGTGACTTACCCATGTATTTACCAATTCCAATGCTTTTCACTTTTTTGTGTGACTTTGATTTCCATCTGCTATTCTCCTGTCTGAGAGACTTCTTTTTTTCTACATTTCTTGTAATGCACATCTCTTGGTAATGAGTTCTTTCAGCCTTTGTATGTTAGGAAAATTGTGTCTTTCACTTCCATTTTTGGAAGGTATTTTTATTTTCACTAGATACAGAATTCTAGGTTGACTCGTTTTATTTTAGATTTTAAAGGTTTCGCTGTGTTCATACTTTCCAGCCTGAAGCTTACCGTTATTTTAAGTCTTTGTTTCTCTGTGCGTTGCCCTGGCTTCTTTGGCTACTTTTAATAAAGTTGTTTTTTTTTTTCTTTATCATTAGTCTTAAGCAGTTTGATTATGGAGAACTTTGTTAGAATTTTTTGTGATTCTTATACTTGGGGTCTTTTGAGATTCTTAGATCTGTGGGTTTTTAGCTTTTATCTAATGTACAAAAATTTAACCATTATTTCTTTTAGTATCAATTTTCTACCTTTTGGAACTTTGATTGCATATTTATTGACTCTTTTGGAATTATCCCGCAGTACAGTGATGCAGTGTTGTTTGTTCTAGTTTTTTTGTTTTGTTTTGTTTTTCTGTAGTTCATTCTGGATAATTTCTTTTCCTGTGTCTTCAAGTTCATTGGTCTTTTCTGCTTCATTGTCTAATGTGCTGTTACTCTTGTCCATTGTATTTTTTTATTTTAGACAGTGGCCTTTTTATCTCTATACCTTTGACAGGCCTTTTTTTTTATATCTTTCATATCTCTTCTTGACATGGTCATTATTTCCCCTGCCATCTTGAATGTATGGAATATAGTTACGGTAACTAAACCAATGGCCATTTCTACTAATTTATGTTATGTTTGTTATTCTTGGATCCATTTTGACTAATCTCTTCTCTCTTATTTTGAATCATAATTTTTATTGTGTGCCAGTCACATAGGATACGTACTAGGTATTTTTTCATTCCTTTGAATATTCTGGAGCTTTGTTCTGAGATACTGTTTAGTGACTTTGAAGTAATTTGATGCTTTTAAGACTTGCTTTTAAGTTTATTAGACAGGACCAGCGTAGCGATTCATCTGGAACTTTCCCCTTCGACTACAGCAGTTCTCTTTTGGAGAGTTTTCCTAGCATCTTGGGAATTACCATGTTTTCCACCTTGGCTGATGAGAACACAAACTCTTTGTGCCCACTGTGGTTCTGGAGAGTGAGTGTTTCCTCTGGTCCCCTGGCCTGAGGTAATTTCCCGACATTGACATCCATGTGCTGTTCAGACTCCCGAAGTCTCTGTGCTTATCCCTGTAGCTGCCATGGTTTGCCCAGACTTCTGGTTCTGCCGTCTCATCCATAGGAA